ATTAAAGTGGGTTTGTCACTAAATAAAAATTCTCAGCAAACCTTTTTTTTTCCTGTTGTGATCTATCAAGTGAATAAAGGTTTATTCTAACACCATCATTTATTATAATACTCTTTTTTAATGCAAATTTCATCAAAATCAGACTCTAGGAAGCAGGAATGACAAAAATGGTTTATCAATACTGAGTCAGGTGGCACAGGCCTGTAATCTTAGCACGTGTGAGATATCAGCAGGAGGATCAAAAAACTTAGGGCCAGCCTTGGCTATATGGCAAGTCAGAAGCCAATTTGGGCTACATGAGGCCCTGTCTCAAAATAGTAAAACCAAATAAGTAAACAAGCATTTATCCAGATAATAACAAAGATGCAAAAAGCTAATTCATGTTAAATAATTCAACAATTACCTTTAAGCAATGCCTACTATCATCCTATATAACAACATAACAATCCCAGTTATTCAGTTACATATTCACTGACAGGAATTGACATTATATAGTCTAAGTCTACTGAAGGTTTGTATTTTCAAAAAGTAATCTGATGAATTCAAAGCCATAAAACATGGGAGGGGTGAGGAAAGAAGGAATGTGAAACAGATGGCATCTAATTTTTTCCCCTTAGTCCATCTTGAACACAATCCCAATAATGTCAAAATCCAATTTAGCTTTCTAAATAAGTAATCTATAAAACTTAAAATGGTAATTCTCAAGTAAATTCACTCTTTTTTCTTCCCAGCTTTTCAGTGATTCTATATTAGGCACAAATGGGTAGAGCTAGCTATTAAGAGAAAAACTATCATTTACAAATTCAAAGTTTTTCCAGGAAAGTCTACTATGTATGTAAAGCCACTGAAGCAGTTTCTATCAAATATCAGTCATATTGAAGTCTAGTTCCAGGGAGCTGGAGAGATGAGCCAGTGGATCCTGGTTCAATTTCCAGCACCCACATCGCAGCTCACAACTGTCTGTAACGCCAGTTCCAGGGGATCTGACACCTTCACATCAGTGCACATAAAATAAAGTTAAATATTAAAAAAAAATCTAGCTACACAGGCTGGCAACATATCTCAGTAATTAAGAACACTGACTGCTCTTCCAGAGAACCTTGATTCAATTTCCAGCACCCACATGGCAACTCACAACTGTGTGTAACTCCAAGATCTGACACTCTAACAGACATACATGCACCCTCACCAATGCAAATAAAATAAAAATAATTTTTTAAAATCTAGCTACATTATCTTTTTTCTTAACATAAAGATTATTTAACTTGATAAGAAGCTAAATAATTATCTCCATAAAATACACTAAGATAGAGACAAGCTCAAGAGAGAAGAGTCACTTGATTGTTGTTAAAACAAAGTATTTTCTGGACCTTTAATTTTTTTTTTACATTTCCACAATAACTCTTTTATTCCTGATTTAATAGCACCACAACATAATTAACTACTTTGTTAATTACTATAATTCCACTAAATGGTACATATGTACAAATGTATGTATGTGTGTACATTTCCCAACATATACCTCCTCTATCATGCCTAATTTTTAAGATAATCAAAGACATGCTCAAGGAAGGGTCAGTAGTTTTTAGATTCCTCACAAGCAAATTCCACAACTGACAACTGCAAAGATCTTTGGATTGGTCACATACTTTTTGTCAAAAAGATCACCAAGGAAAGTATCGCCAACAGTTTTGTATTTATGGCATATAATTTAGGCAGAATTTTTCATAGCAACAGCTATTACACTATTACCTACATGAAAATAAATGAATTATTAACATTTTATTTAAAAGACAAGTTTAAAAAAATGGGTACTGCTAAGAACAAAGTCAATGTGACCTCAACTTTAAGACTCAAAAGTGATAGAAAACTAACAATTCAAAAAACACAGCAAAACCTTAGATTTATATTAGTGCTCCCTTAAAAGAGCCATTTAGAAATTTGAATCATCTTACCAAAAATCCTCAACTAAGCCGGGCGTTGGTGGCGCACGCTTTTAATCCCAGCACTCGGGAGGCAGAGGCAGGCGGATCTCTGTAAGTTCGAGACCAGCCTGGACTACCAAGGGAGTTCCAGGACAGCCTCCAAAGCCACAGAGAAACCCTGTCTCCAAAAAACCACAAAAAAAAAAAAAAAACCTCAACTATAGCAAAACATAATTTCAACTCTGCTTAAAACAGAGATATTGAAAATTTCAACTTTACAAAAAATGTGCAAACCTCTTTGAAAAGGTCACACTGAATTGGAAACCTCGTACCTACTTTTCATGCAAAAAATATTAAAGGGAATTATTTATACCCAGCCTCTTTTGAGTATAAAGTAGATTTGAAATGTTTTAAATTACTAACCACAAAGAAAACCTGTTAGTTGAAAATCTGACATAAGCTGGGTGTGGTGGTGCATGCTTTTCGTCCCAGCATTCAGGGAGCAAAGGAAGATGAATCTCTGTGAGTTCCAGGTAAGCCTGGCCTACAAAACAAGTTCCAAATCAGCCAGAGCTACACAGTGAGACCCTTTCTCAAAAAGAAAAGTCCAACATAACAGGTTACATACAATTATTATTTTAAACCCATAAAGCAAATAAGTATATATCAAGATTTTATATTCTACATTCTGATGGCTAATTATTTAAAGGGAGAAATTTATTGTGTTTTCATTTATTTACAGCTTATATGCAAAAATTCTCTATAAGTCAGGTGAGGTAGTGTACAACTGTTATCCCAGCACTCCAGGGGAAAGAGTATCTCAAGATCAAGGTCAGCCTGAGTTATATGCTGAGACTGTCTCAAAAAACAAAACATAATTATATTATATTTTGCTAACATTATAAACTAAATCTAACTAAAATGACTCATGCAAGTGATTCTGACCTTAATCTTTTTTTTTTCTTTTTTGGCTTTTCGAGACAGGGTTTCTCTGTAGCTTTGGAGGCTGTCCTGGAACTCACTTTGTAGACCAGGCTGGCCTCGAACTCCCAGAGATCCGCCTGCCTCTGCCTCCCGAGTGCTGGGATTGAAGGTGTGCGCCACCAACGCCCAGCTCTGACCTTAATCTTAAAAAGTTATAACTACTTTCTATTTTATGTTCCAAGCCTAACTGCCTTTAAGAAGACTCGTGTTGTTAAGATTTAAATAAGTTACTTACAAATGTTTTTCTTTTCAATGCATGCTATATACAACTGTGGTTTATCTGAGAAACACCTACAAAATGTACTTTGGTCATTTCAAGAAATAAACATATGTAGTACCTACTAGTCACTTTAAGAAACTATTGATAACTGCCTTTTAAAATACTTATGATCACTTTCTAGGGGCTAAGGTTGCAGGTCAATAGTTGAAAAGCATAGTATTATGTGTGGCCCTTCTGGGTTGGATGTCCAGCACCACAGAAAAAATAATAATAAAGCTGGGCATGGTGGCGCACACCTTTAATCTCAGCACTGAGGAGGCAGAAGCAGGAGCAGGAGGATCTCTGTGAGTTGAGGCCAGCCTGGTCAAATAGTGAGTTCTAGGACAGCCAGAGCTATATAGTGAGAGCCTGTCTCAACACCCCCCCCAAATAATAATATATAAAATATATAGAAATCCCTCGAATTCTTGTTGCATACTCTTCAAATATTACCATCCAGTTACCTTTTCAAAATCCTCTTTCCACTAAGTTGGGCTATCTTAACTGTATGTTAATGACAATCTTGAAATTCAAAGGTGCCTGTTTTAAATGGAGTTATATAAATAATCGCCTCTCTTATGACACTGGAATTGAACTCCTCCTTGTGAAGAGCTGGAAACTCTGCTATAGTCTATGACTTGACACAGGTTGGGTCCATTCCTGGAATTATCTTCCTCAAAGCCAACACTTCCACTTGAGTACAATCATCTCCTTAAAAGATTAAGAGACAGCTCAACAGCGGAGAGGTACTCTCGTCTCTTCAAATGTTCACTTGTTATTCTAAGACATATATCACTAAACTACCTACAGTTCGGTCACTTAAATATAAATGAGGAAAATATTTCTGATTCGTTTAAACCACAGCAGGTTTACTGGCGGGTGAGAAAGAGGTTGGAAAAAGCTTGCCTCAACATGTCTCATCTAGACCTCTATTTATATGGATTTCCTGGTGTGTGTGTGTGTGTGTGTGTGTGTGTGTGTGTTTTTAAGCATGTACATTTACAATGATACGTTTGAATATAGTCAGATGCTTTCCAGTATTGCACTTTTCTAAGAAAATTCATACTAGATATATATTGATCTGGGAAACTGGCAGAATATGCCACATTGGCCCTTTGCAAATATCCGAAATACCATGCAGGGGCAACAAATCCAGTTCCATACTCTTATCTTTCACGATGTGATGCGTGCCCACTTGAGGGACACCGCTCCTACAGGACGCCCGGGCGAGGGAGCAATAAAGGAAGAAGCGGGGGAAGCGCACGGAAGTTGGGTGGAGGGAGGTCTCATTACCCACTCTGCTGCCCCAGCTCTGCCAAGGGCGGCTCCGCGATGCCCAGCAGACGCGAAACCCCCACAAGCCCTCGAAGCCCGGCTCTGTCCCAGCAGAAAGGGTCCGGGACGCAGACAGTGTAAAGTATGGGATGACCACGGACACCCAGCAAAGTCCATATACCCTGATTTCGGCCTTGGATGATGCTCCCCACGCCTCCCTCCCCTTTCAGAGCGGGCACTCCAGGTGGGAAACTCCCGGTTTGCATTAGCCGAAGTCTCTGCCTCAGAAAGGGAGCCTCCTGCGACCGTGTCCAGCCGGCCACCCGCAACTCTTTACTCGCAGGGACCCTGGTCCCTCCGTCCCGCCCCCGCAACCCTCCATAGACAAGCCCGTGCCCCACCCGGGATCCCGGCGTCCACCGCCCCGCCCCGGCGAAGGGCCCCCCGGAGCCCCCCTCTCATTCTCTCTCTCACACACACGCACACACACACGTACACACACACACAACACATCTCAGATTGGTCTCCCAGATCCAGTCGAAGCCAAGAGTACCTACCTGTATCGGCCACGCTCCGTGGTTCCAAGGGGGCGGGCGCGGTCTCCTCCCCGAGACGCCGAGTGCTTCTCTCAGCCACCCTTAAAGCGACGGATTCGCTTTCCCAGGAGCGGGAGGGAGACGAGGAGGCGGAGGGGGGGGAAGGAGAGGAGTTGAGGGGCGGCCGAAGCCAAACCGGAAGTACTAATGCTGGCCCCACCCACCTCCCGGAGCCGCAGAGCATCCTCGCTCTCCTGATAGGACAAACCCTCAGCAGTCACTGAGAAATTCAGACCACCACTTCCGGGTCGTTCACGCTGCAGCCCCTCCTTAGCAACAGCGTAGGGTTGCTAAGCGGAAGTGCCTTTAAAGATACCCACCCCCCATTTCTTCTGGGACTGTTGGGAGGTGGGTTGGGAGCTTCGTGTTCCCCTTTGGAAATATCCTCAGACCTTTAATTTACAATGTGAAGCCAAGTAAACGCTTCGCTGCTGCAGGTAGAAGGCCCACGGTTCCCTCAGCTATTCTCCAACACCAGCGCCTAACTACACACACCTCCTCACTCCTTCTCGAATCCTAGGCCAACCCGGCGCCTGGCGGCTCCTCCCAAAGAGCCCCTCTCGAGTCCCTTGCGGGAGTTTCTTTCTCGTTGTCTAGCATCTCCCTCTGGTGGATCTCCTGTCGTTTCAACCAAGCTTTTGCATGCATTTCGTTCTGAAATGGTCCCAGGAGTCGAATAGAGGGTAAGAAAAGTTTTGTTTTAGCTTGTCTTCTTAAAAAGAAAAAAGTTTAGCGTATTTATGTGTAACCTGGAAATAACCTAGCTATACCGGGGGCGGGGGGCATATAAATTGACCAGAGAAACAAAAGACCAAAGAATGCCGATAGTCAAGCTTGAGTAGGAAGACAGCTAATCCTTCGTTTAGAATAAACCATTATACCTATACTGTAAACAAGAAAGTTGTCCATAAATTTAAAAAAAAAAAACCCTCATTTGGGCTGGGAATGCAGATATGTGGTACAGCACTTGCCTGGCTCGCACAAGATCCTTAGTTCTATGCCCAGACCCTGAAGAAGTGGGGCGGGGCGCAAAAAAACGCATTTAGAATGGACATGATAAGCAGGACTGCTACGGTTGGACTCCAGAGGACGAGAGAAGAGGATAAGGAGCTACATTTGCAGTTCCAATTCTAAATCATTTTACCTAGCATGTCTCAGGCACTATGTTCAATCTTACATTTGAAAAAAACTGATAAACAATAGTTGTGGAAAAGTCAACGAAACAATCCTGTCACTATAAAAGACATATAATTAGTCATATTAAGAGAAACCTGGGGAGGGGAACATCATATGACTTTTTTTTTTCGAGACAGTGTTTCTCTGTATAGCTTTGTAGACCAGGCTAGCCTTGAATTCATAGAGATCCACCTGCCTCTGCCTCTTGAGTGCTGGGATTTAAAGCATGCACCACCAATATGGACTGACTGGCTTTCCTATCTGACTTTAGCTTCTGAATTTTTCTCCTCCTCTGTGCCAGTGAAAACATTTCCAACTACAGGCCCTAATTTTATTGGTCACAAAATTATTGGTAGACTATTGTTCATCTCAGTTAAAAAGAAACATCAGGTTTATTCATTTCCTGGACTCATGGGATGGCATTAAAATGATTTATCCAGGGTAGTCATCTCAGCAAAGCTTTTACAAAACCGACATACCAGTAGTAGGTTGTTTAAATACGTCTAAAATATTTCCACTTCTGCCATCATGTGTTTATATGGAAATACATACACCTGGCTCAAAGTGAACAGTGATAAATAGGTTACCACAGTTTAATATTTTAACTGCCAACAGATCTAAATACAAACCTTTAAATTCTAAAATACAAATATGAGCCAATGAACAACAGCTTATGATGTATCTAAAGAACTATAACATGATTATAGTTTAAAACAAAAAGATGTGGCCTTAAGAAATTAATGCCTCGCCAGGCGTTGGCGTCGCACGCCTTTAATCCCAGCACTCGGGAGGCAGAGGCAGGGGATCTCTGTGAGTTTGAGGCTAGCCTGGTCTACCGAGCAAGTTCCAAGACAGTCTCCAAGGCAATACAGGGAAACCCTGTCTCGAAAAACCAAAAAGAAATTAATGCCTCATTAAATAAAATTAAGTTATAATCAACCATGAGCTTAAACGTATATGGAAATACACATACCTTTGCATAACTCATCCACTGCCCGGAGTGCTTTATAAGCAGCATTTAACTCCTTTCTTAGAGCTTTGGGTTTGTTTGTTTTTTAATTCACTTTTGTATTAGTGTATGAAAAACTGGATTGAATCCTAAGTGATCACATGAGCTTTTGTAATTCTTTCATTTTCTACGTACTCATTGCTTGGGGGCCTTGAAAGATGAGTAAGTAGCAAAGTCCTAACCTAAAACTACCTGTGTGAGTTTAACTACACTTCTATAGTTTTGTAAATGATGTTACAAGAATTCATATTCTCTTATTATTATGTTTGTGTGGAGCTGTGTTGGTGCCAGCATACCACTGTGAATGTGGAAATCAGGAAATGCTGAAGGAGCCCTTCTCTCCTTCAGCCACATTCATCCCTGAGATTGAGCTCAGGTTGCCAGGCTTGGCATTAGCAGCAATTGCCCTTCCCTTTGCGTTATTTGGTTGGCCAAGATATACTCTTAATATGAACTGTAAAACAGTACTGTGTATGTAGGCTACATCTCAATTGCCTACATAAGCCAGTATAGTACCTTCATCATATATGTATGATTACTATGGGACTTCCAGCCTCCTAATAGCGTCTTTTTTTTTTTTTAACTGACTGAACCTTCACAGAGATGGTTCATTTATTTAAAGCTGTGGACAATACCAAGTTGTCCACAATACACAGAGGAATCCATGAAAATATTTAAGTTTTATGTTTTAATTTTTATTTTTAAATTTATTTTAGAAACAAGGTTGCTTCACATGTCAATCCCAGGTCCCTCTCCCTTTCCCTCCCTTCCTCCCACGCCCTTCCTCCACCCCCCCCACCCCCGTACACTCTTGTTTCCCCAGGGAGGGTGAGGCCTTCTATGGGGGTGTCCATAGTCTGTCATTTCATCCAGGGCAGGACCTAGACCCTCCCCCAAGTGTCCAGGGTGAGAGTGCATCTCTCATTGTGGGATGGGCACCCCCCTAATAGCATCTTTTTAAATTCACCTTTTAATTTTAATTTTATTTTCTTAGTAATGACTTAAAGAATGGTGCATGTAATTCTAGCACTTCAGAAACTCAGTCAAAAGGATTGACATGAATTGTAACCCAGCCTGGACTAAACAACAAAAAGAGAAAATTTGGGGAGTGGAGAAATGGCTCAGTTGTTAGGAGCACATGCTGCTCCTCTAGAGGTCCTGGGTTCAATTCTCAGCAACCCCATGGCATCTCACAACGATCTCTAACTCCAGTTCCAAGGGATCCATGGCAAACAGTAAAACAAAACATGTACTGCCAGAGTACATATGGTTTCTCTAAACATAAAAAATTACCAAACTCAGGACTGGAGACATGGCTCAATGGTTAAGAGCACTGGCTGTTCTTCCAGAGGACCCAGCTTCAATTCCCAGCATCCACATGGCAGCTCACTATTGTCTGTAGTTCCAGTTTGGGAGGGGCGTGTTTGACAGCCTCACACATACAGGCAAAACACCAATGTACAGAAAACAAAAGTAACCCACTAAAATAATACAAAACTAGAAATGAATAGTTTATGATGAATATTCAAAGACAGTAAGAAGAAATTTAGCCAAATTAACCATTTTTGTGCCTAAGCAATAAACAATTGAAAGATACACAAGTGATTTAGAGAAACTCAGAATATATGACAAACAAAAAAATGTTAACCCTGAGGAAACGAAGGCTAAAGATACAACATTTATTTTTAAGTAACTGAAGTTTGACATGTGGAATAGCATGGGTTTTGTTGTTGTTGTTGTTGTTTGTTTTTTCAAGGCAGGGTTTCTCTGTATTGTTTTGGAGGCTGGCCTGGAACTCCCTCTGTGTACCAGGCTGGCCTGGAACTCACAGAGATCGGGCTGCCTCTGCCTCCCGAGTGCTGGGATTAAAGACGAGCACCACCAACGCCCAACTGCATGTTCTTTCAAGAATGGGAGTTAAAACAACTGAAACTCAACCTTTTTTACGATTAAAGTTGTCAAGCAATTGCATAGTTGGTTTGGGTTGAACAAGATGGCTTCTAATAATCTTCCAAATTTGATGACAGTCTGTTCTGCTTCTATATGCTATTCTCAAAGATTTAGGGACAAGGCCCTCCTAAACTTTCAGTTTTTCTAAAAAAGAGTTGATCTGGAAGAGTCTGTATAGTAGAATTTACAAGCTGTTTACAGGGAGACCTATCTCAGAATGGGGTGGCAGGGAAGAGGCAGAAGGGGGCTGGAGAGGTGACTCAGTAACTAAAGGTGCTTCCTGCCTAGCCTGAGGATCTGAAGTTTTGATCCTGGTGGAAAGCATTGACCCTCACAAGTTGTCCTCCGACCTTTACACATGTTCAACACACACACACACACAGTAAATAAATCCAATACATTTTGGTAATAATTATACACATTAAAATTCAAGCTCATTAAGCTTACCAACATCAAGTAGCTCTACTAGTGAAAGAGAGCAAATCAGATTTCAAAGCCACTAAAAACTGACTTTAAAAGACTCAGTTTAGAGGGTGGAGAGATGGCTTAGCAGTTGGTTCTAGAAGTCCTGAGTTTAATTCCCAGCAACCACATGGTAGCTCACAACCATCTATAATAGGCTCTGATGCTCTCTTCTGGCATGCAGGTATATATGCAGAGCACTCTTACATCAAATATAAATAGATAAATTAAAAAGAAAAAAAAAAGACTTGGTTTAACCTACTTAAAACCTAAGTCAGGCAATGTGGTGCATACTTTTAATCCCAGCACTCAGGAGGCAGAGGCAGGTGAATCGTTTGAATTTGAGGCTAGCCTAATCTACAAAATTAATTCCAGGACAGCCAGGACTACACAGAGAAGCCCTGTCTCTAAATAAATAAATAAATAAATGCATCAACAACAAAAAACAAACTTAATCTTTTGTGTTAGCAAATATCTGTAATACCAGCACTTGCAAATCTGAGGATGATTGCCTCAAGGTCAAGACCAGCCTGGGCTATATAGAAAATTTCAGTTCAACCTGAGGTTTGGTGAGACCCTCTAAAGAAACTAAAACACGGGATAGAGAGATGGCTCAGGGGTTAAGAGTACTTGCTGCTTTTGCAGAGGACCCAGGTTCAGTTCCCAGCCCCTACTTGACAATTTAACAATTGTCTCTTAACTCCAGATCCAGGAGAACTGAGGCTGTCTTCTGGCACCAGACACATACCATATATACATATGCAGGCAAAACATTCACACACACAAAATAAAAATAAGTCTTTATTTAAAAAGTCAAAACCACAAACAAAAGAAGAAACAAGAAACATAATATTCAAATTACTTGAGATTAAAAGAGGTTCTGCTTGTTGTCTAAAGCGTAAAAGAAAAATCTATAATAAGCTGGCCTCAAACGATATGTAAATAAAAAAACGAAACCAATACATTTATTTGTATTTGGAGATAAAATAGTATAGATGGTAGGAAACACAAATGGTTATGGTACTAGAAAACTGAATATTTATTTTAAATAAGTTTCACAAAAACATGACTGCTAAAACCATGGTTAATTTTGAAAATGGATAGTGGTCAGTAAATAAAACACAATGAGAAAGTCAAGTATATCAGTTAACATAGTGGCACATACCTTTAATCCCAGCAGTTGGAAGACAGAGGCAGACAGATCTCTGTGAGTTCAAGGCTAGCTTGTTCTACATATTGAGTTCAGGTTACTTAGGGGCTAGATAATGAGATCCTGCCTCAAAACAATTATTACTATAACCTATCCAGTGTTCTCAAGTCATCTTGAGAAATTAAGGAAAAATTCTAAGGACTTGATATATAAAACTTGATTTATAGCATAATTTTTCAGGTTTTTAATTTCCAACTTTAAAAATATAGACAAAAACCAGACATGTGGCACAATTCTTTAATCCCAGCACTCAGGAGGCAGAGACAAGTAGATCTCAGAGTTTGAGGTCAGCCTGGTCTACAGAGTGAGTCCCAGGACAGCCAGAGCTACACAGAGAAGCTCTGTGTTGGGGGGGTGAGAATGGACAAAAAAAATACATATATATATATGTTTTATATATATGCAAAAAGGTAATATTTTATGATCTTGAACTAAGTATATATCCAAGAAAAATTGTTTGAATATATCTATAGAATCTCTGTTCCTGATTCTAATCATATCTTTCTTTCTTTCTTTTTTTTTTTTTTGAGATAGGATTTCTTTGTACAACTGCCCTGGCTGTCCTGGAACTCCATCTGTAGACCAGGCTGGCCTCCAACTCAGAGATGGCCTGCCTCTGCCTCCCAAATACTGGGATTAAAGTTGTGTACCACCACACCTAGTTAACTTTTCTTTAAAAAATATACAACTAACTTTTTCAACATTTTCTCTTTGCCCCCACCTTGAAAAATGACAAGAGATTAAATTTAATTTATACTGATTTTTTAATGTGAACAAGACTAAGTCAACTTTTTAAAGCAAACAGACCATAACAATGACACTATCTCAATAATCAAGTTCCCATAAAATGGTATTAGAACAAAGATCTAAGCAAATCTCAAAGACAGTAGATTAGTAATTAGAACATCATGCAATATTGATTTTAGCAAGAAGCTAAACAGGTAAAAGAAGCAACATATCATATGACATCATAAATTCAAGTATGCAATTATAATTTACAAATTATAAAAATTCTCCCCTTTATAGCTAGTTGCTTTTGAATGGCTAAATTTTAGTGACCCCCTTAACTAAATGCCTATTCAACGAGCCAATTGAACAAACACATCTACCCAAATTTACATCCCAGAATACCTAAGTAAACTGAAGACATTATTCAGATGAGTAAGTTCTATGCATTTTCTTCATCTGTGTGATCAGGTTGCAAAGGACATGCTCTGTGAAGAAGAGAAATTAAACCACTTAAGTATCAACTGTTTATAAAATCAGAACATTAATAATGAAGTAAGTCTGCTCAAGTAACTAGAAATGAAAGAAAATTAAACTCCAATAATTAGTAAGTGAAAACAAATTCCAAGAAGTAGTGCAACAAATTTTTTTAACACTATTCCCTGTTGTTTCTTGAAACCAGCATTTTTCATTTAGTACATGTTTTATTTAAAAGGAGCATTTTGGTGAAAACCTATGGCCTCCACATGTACAAATATATATTCATATCTGTGCTTGTGAACACACACAGATATACACACACAAAATTTAAGCAGATACTTGCTACTGATCACAACAGCCAAGATATGAACTAGCATACAACTGTATCAATAGGTAAATGAATGAAGAAAATTTGACACATATATACAATGGAATTTTATTTAGCTATAAAAAATGAAATGACATTTAGAGGCCAGAGAGATGGCTCTGTGGTTAAGAGTGCTCACTGCTTTTGCAGAGGACAGGAGTTCATATTCAGCACCCACAAAGGATAGTTTAACCACCTATTTAACTATAGCTCCGGAGTATCCAATGCCCTATTCCAGTCTCTGTGGACACCCACACACATACATGCATAAATAAAAATTTTAATTTTTTTAAGATTTAAATTTTTATTTTTAATAAGATCTTTTTTTTTGGTTTTTTGTTTTTGTTTTTGTTTTTTTGGTTTTTCGAGACAGGGTTTCTTTGTGGCTTTGGAGGCTGTCCTGGAACTCACTTTGTAGACCAGGCTGGCCTCGAACTCACAGAGATCCGCCTACCTCTGCCTCCCGAGTGCTGGGATTAAAGGCGTGCACCACCAATGCCCGGCTAATAAGATCTTTTTTAAAAAATTAACATTTCCAAGAAAATGGATTAAACTAGAGATCATCATGTTACATTCAATAACCAAGACTTTGAAAGACAAATATTGAATATTTTTTCATATAGAAAATTTAGATTTAAATTTATGTATGCTTGTACTTACATATGTGTAGGAAGAATATCAAAATACAAAAGGGACTATGAGATATAAAGGCAAGGTGTAAGAGTGGAGGAAGAAACAAGATAAACAGATGTAATGAAGTTCAGAAGCAAGAAAGGAAGGGGATTGCAAGAAGGGCAAGTCAGTACAGGGAGACAAACGGGTGAAGCACAGTAGTGTGACAATGAAAATGGGCATTGGGATGTCTCAGTGGGTAAAGGCACTTGCCACCCGACAACCCAAGTTTGATCTCTGGATCCAATGGTAAGAAGGAAAGAACCAACTGCTGGAAATTGTTCTCTGGCCTCCATAGATGGATGCTCTGTACCTTTTAAATATATATGTAAGAATGAACTGTGGGCTAGAGATAGTTCAGTAGCCAAGAGCACTTACAGAAGACACAGTTCAGTTCTCAGCACCAGCACCAGGTTGCTCACAACCATCTATAGCTCCAGTTTCAGGGGAGCCATGCCCTCTGACCTTTATTAAGTACCTGCACATATGAGGTATACATTAACTAATAAGGCACATACTTATGCATAAATAAATAAATAAAAATAAATCTTTCTAAAAATTACTAGTTGAGCATGGTGTAAAATGCCTATCAAATGCATTATCTATTTGCAGCTTTAAGTGCTTGAACCCAGGGCCTTGTACGAAGAAGCCTTCTATCACTGAGGTATATCTCCAGGTCTAGTGCATAGCTACAATCTCATCATCATGGAGGCCAAGACAGAAGGATAGAGTACAAAAAAGAAGTCGAGGTTACCAGGTAGTAGGGGATTAATTAGGAAGTAGATTCAAACCCATCATTGCAGTGTCAGTTACTATACAAAAAGCCAAATGTAGCCAAGTATGTTGGCTCACACTTCTAATCCCCAAACCAGAGAGGCACAGAGGTTAAGGTAGGAAGGTTGACATTTGTTCAAGGCCAGCCTGTGCTGCAGAGTGAGACCATCTCAAAAAAACAGAACAACATAAAAAAGCGCAAAAAAAAAAAAAAATCAAGAACTGGGCAGTGGTGGCACAGGCCTTTAATCCCAGCACTCAGGACGCAAAGGCAAAAGGATCTCTGAGTTCTGGGCCACCCTGGTCTACAGAGCAAGTTCCAGGTCAGTCAGCGCTACAGAGAGAAACCTTTTTTTTTTTTTTTTTTTGGTTTTTCGAGACAGGGTTTCTCTGTGGCTTTGGAGGCTGTCCTGGAACTCACTTTGTAGACCAGGTTGGCCTCGAACTCACAGAGATCCTCCCGCCTCTGCCTCCCGAGTGCTGGGATTAAAGGCGTCGCCACCAACGCCCGACGAGAAACCTTGTCTTAAAAAAAAAAAGAGAGCGAGGACACAGAGTTAAATGACTATAGCACAGTGATAGAGCTTGCCTAGTGCTTACAAATACCAGAGTTCAATTTTCTAGCACAGAGAGAATGGCAAAGATAATTTACAGCAATATCTTGTACTTCCTTCCAAAGTAAAATCTGAAATCTTTTCATATTTCCTAATTACTTTCCAGGCTTTTAGGTTTAGTGAACCATAAAGAACACTGAATCTCCATTCCTATTGCACACTTTCTATCAAAGTGAAATTATTCTCAAGGTAGACTTTTAATGATCTATATTTCATAAACCACATTTTTTTTTGAGACAGAGTTTCTCTGTAGCTTTGGGGCCTATCCTGGAACTCACTTTGTAGGCCAGACTGGTTTCAAACTCAGAGATTTCCCCTGCCTCCGAGTTCTGGGATTAAAGGCATGTGCCACCACCACCCAGCCATAAACCACTTTTAATGAAACCATTAACCAATGTTCAGCCTTGTCTTTCTCTTTATTGTCATATATGGAACTTCAGGAGATTCACCATCCAATTAACCCTTGAGATGATCTTCAAGGCAATCCAGCTTGAGCCTCTCAGGATTTTCTGTGTTACTAAAACCAGTGGGATGAATAGATGTGAAGAGTAAGTTGTTTTCCTTGCGACACTGGATTTGCAGGTGTCACTTGGTCCAATTTTAGAATGTGATCTGGTCCGAGGCTCTTAACGGATAAGACACAGAAAGGCAAGCAAGACCCCAAGGAGATTGGTTATAGCTTTTAGGGAGCTGCTGGAGGATACCGTGGTGTCATCGGGGCCATCAGTTTCATAGTAGGTAGGGCCCATTGTGCTGGTTAAAGGGACAAATGACTTGACCTGCATGGGGAGGATCACAAGGAGTAACAGCCCCAAACAGAGTCTGACCACCATCCTCTCACCCCCAAGCTTCAGGGTGCTGAGTGTCCGTCTTGCTGCTTGTCTGGCTGGCAGTTCTCTAGGCTTTGGCTGGTGTGTCAGTTACAAACCAGGTCTTACTTTCAGGAACACATCACAATGACAGTGTCATGGTGCCACACCCTCTGTACATGCAAGTCCTTTTTTTGATTTGTTTTTTTAACCACAGGATCTCAGGTGGTTTAGGCTGGCCTCAATCTTGCAAATAGAATTAAAACATTTTTAAAAGGGGCATAGTGGGCAAGAAGTGGTTGTATGCAACTGTAATCCCAGCACTCAGGAGACAGAGGCAAGTAGATCTCTGTGAGTTCCAAGCCAGCCTGGTCTACAAAGAGACCCAGTCTCAAAAAAAAAATAAAAAACAAACAAAAATTAAAATGTGGGGACAGTGAAATGGTTGAGGTGGTAAAAGTTCTTGCATGTCATTTGAATCTGGACACCTGATTTAATTCCTAAAACCCTTGTAGAGGTGGAAACATAACTGACCTCCATATACCCTCCATGGTGTGTGCCTTAGTTTCAACACTTATAAACCTATAAGAATTCAAATACTTTTTTCTTTTCTTTGCCTTAATATTTATTTATTATATATACAGTGTTCTGCATGCATGTATGCCTGCAGGCCAGAAGAGAGCACCAGATCTTATTACAGATGACTGTGAGCCACCATGTGGTTGCTGGGGATTGAACTCAGGACCTCTGGAAAAGCAGTCAGTTCTCTTAACCTCTGAGCCATCTCTCCAGCCCTCAAATACTTTTTTTCCTAAAAAAAATTTTTTTAGGTGCAGAGCAATGAAGCTAATGCCTCAAACATGCTAAGTTTTCTCCACCAAGCTACATCCCAGCCCCTTTTTTTGTATTTTATTTTTCAAGACAGGATTTCTTTGGGTAGCCCTGGAACTCACTGTGTAGACTCGGCTGGCTTGGAACTCACAGAGATCCACTTGCCTAGGCCTCCTGAGTACTGGGATTCAAAACACGGGCCATCATGCCTGACTTTTTTGTGATTCTTACTTAAGTGACAGATATTGATTGTTAGAAGTTGATAGTATGCAATATAAGACAAGTTTTTACCCAGATAAATAATTATTGGTACTTGTTATATTGTGTGTATGTGTTTTGCAAAGCAGATTGTACTTTAAAAAAGGTATCTTTATATATATTTATACATGTGTTTGTGCCTAACTGTATGTATGTATGTATGTACATCACATGCTGCAGGGACCTAAGTAAGTCAGAAGAGGCATCAGACTCCATAGAACTGAAGTTACATACAGTTGTGAGCTGCCATGTACATGCTGGGAACCAAACCTGAATCCTTTGCAAGAGCAGTACTATTAAAGGCCAAGCTATCGGCCGGGCAGTAGTGGCACAAGCCTTTAATCCCAGCACTCGGGAGGCAGAGGCAGGTGGATCGCTGTGAGTTCGAGGCCGGGCTGGACCGACAGCCTCCAAAACAATACAGACAAACCCTGTCTCGTAAAACCAAACAAACAAACAAAAAAAGGCCAAGCTGTCTCTCTAGCCCCAAATATTATACTTTTGTATCTAGAATTTTAGGTCAGCATTTATCACTAGCATTCTCATTTCATTAATCTTAAAAACAATCTGGCATGATAGTGCCTTTAATTCTAGCATCCAGAAGGCAGATGGCTCTCTATGAGTTCAAGGCCAGCCTAGTATACATAGTGAATTCCAAGACAGCCAGAGCCTCATAACTGAGGCCCTGTTTCAAAAAACAAACAAAAAATAATAAAATATGCATTACTATTGGTTGTTTCTATAGACTGATTTCTGTTTATGTTCTCTCTGTTAATTGTATATTTCTTGAGAAAGTTCAGCACATAGTGTTATTACTTGATTTGGTACTGGAGACTAAACCTAGCACAGCATGCCCACTGAGTATCAAGACTTACACTGAGCCATATCCTCAGTTCTTAACTAGTAATATTATGGGGCATGAGGGGCTAAATGGAATTCAAACTAGATGATATGACATAGAAATTTCTTTTTGAAAAAAAAATCAAGCAAAAGGAGGGAAGAGAGAGAACGAGGAAAGCAGGCAGATTATAAAGAGTGGTAGCTCATGCATCTCATCCCAGCGCTTAGCAGGTGTCCTGGGCTACATACAGAGACTGTCTCAAAAAACAAAACAAAGCCGGGCAGTGGTGGCACACTTCTTTAATCCCAGCACTCGGGAGGCAGAGGCAGGCAGATCTCTGTGAGTTCAAGACCAGCCTAGTCTACAAGAGCTAGTTCCAGGACAGCCTCCAAAGCCACAGAGAAACCCTGTCTCAAAAAACCATTAAAGCAAAAAACAACCCAAAAAAAAAGCAAAACAAACTGGGTGATGGTGGTGTACACTTTTATTCCCAGCACTTGTAGGCACAGACAGGTGGATCTCTGTCAGTTCAAGGTCAGCCTGGTCTACAGAGTGAGTTCCAGGACAGTCAGGACTGTTAAACAGAGAAACCCAGCCTCAAAAAACAAAAACAACAAAAAAGCAAACAAAACTGTAAAAATTAGAGGAACAATAAATGAATATGAATCAAGTCTCTTTAGTGTAAGCAAAAATTAATTCTTGAAAGATTTGAAATTTTAGAGTGATAAGAAATTATTAGAAGTTAAAGCATAGTTTTCGGGCTGGAGAGATGGCTTAGTGGCTCACAGCACTTGCTGGTCTTCAATTCCCAGCCACCACATGGTGGCTCACAATCATCTACAATGAGATCTGGTGCCCTCCTCTGGCGTGCAGGCTTACATGCATACAGAACATTGTATACATAATAAATAATAAATAATAAAGATTTGGGGGGTAGGGGAGGAGGAGAGGGAGAGGGAGCTGGGATTCACATGTGAAGTAAGCTTGTTTCTAATTTAAATAAAAAAATTTAAAACACATAATGTAAAAACAAAAAAATATAAATTTTTTTTTAAAAAAGCATAGCTTTCATTTTCTTATTAGCAAGAAGAGAAACTTTAAAATTGCTCATTATTCCATCTGTATTTTACTTTGGGGGATGTTTTCTTTGTCTCCCAGACATAGACACTTACTTTCTCTTTGCTGTCCCTAAGCCACTGCATCCCGCTTCTTCAGGGCCATGGTTCTCTTTTCCAGAGTCTTTAGGGGACAGCCTGAAGAATTCTCCAATGCCTTTTTGCCACTTTGGAGTCGGTCGCACACACACTGGATTCCCTCCTGCATACTTATTTTCAGCTATAAAATAGAAACAGGACTAAATAAAAACAAATATAATTGCCTTTCTTTAATATCAGACTCTTAGAGGTATTAGATAATATAACATCCATCTTAAATTAGAAAACGAAGGCTGGAGTGATGCTCAGTGGTAAAAAACACTTGTTGCTCTTTCAGAATACTACAGTTTGGGCTGCAAGAGAACTGATTTCCATAAATTGCGCTCTGAGTTCTGTGTGTAATCGTGTGCAAATCCATGCATATAAGAACACACACACACACTACACATGAAAACAGACAATAAACATGTAATAAAAAAATTTTGAAATGAAAATACAATTTCGTATTTTTGGGCATTAAAAAATGCAAAACTCTGACCATTTTTATTTTATTGGCAGAGTGGGGGTGAGTCAGTATTTCATATAACCCAGGCTGGCTTCACATTCACTGTTTAGCTGATGCTGGCCTTGAATTCCTGATCCTCCGGCCTCCCCTCCTCAAATGCCAAAGCTAGAAGCATGTGCCACTATACAAAGCCACTTCTTGCTTTGTTGATTATTTTTGTGAGACAGCATATTGCTAGGACCCCCGGCACATCTGGTACACACTTGATAGCCCAAACTGGCTTTGAATATACAGTAGTCCTCCTGCCTCAGCCTCTAGAGTACTTAGAGAGATGTGCACCTCTTTTCCAGGCTGTTAAACTCGTATTAAGGACCTATTCAGTTAGCTCTAGTGATTCAGCAGTGGGCCAGACAACTGGAGGTGGCCTTGATAGAATTTACTCTAGTTGTACAAAATATAAGACATTCTATAAGTTTATCTACTCTGAAAAAATTTGTCTACTACTGTATTGTCTGAAAAGGTGGAAATAGTAAATATTTTCTAATGAAACTTTTAGACTTGATAAAATTCAGGGCTGAGTATAGTGTAGTACATGCCTGTAATCCTAGCACTACAGAGACTGAGGCAGAGCCAATCTGGCTAAATGCACTATCTCAAATAAATAATGGTGTGGGGTGGGGGTGTTGGCATAAAAACCATGAATTATCAGATATGGTGGCTAACTCCTGTGATCCTACATACTCAGAAGGCTAAAAGCATGAGGGCTTTAATGGCGGCCTGGGCAACATACTGAGGATCCCATCTCAAAAAATAAAGCAGTGTGTGGTAGTACATACTTGTTATCCTAGCAATCAGGGGAGAAAGAGAGGGGGAGAAGGGGGAGCAGGTTGTGAATGTGGCTCCATTAGTAGAGTTGTCTAGCATGCACAAAGCCCTGAGTTAGGTCCCCAGCACAAAATAAACCTGGCATCCATGGCACATGCTTATGTACCAGCACTGGGGAGGCAGAGGCAGAAGGACCAGAAAGATGGCCAAAGGATCTGGAGTTCAAGGCTATTCTCTGTATATAGAAATTTTGAGGACAGCCTGGACTACACAAGACTTTGGGAGAAGGAAGGAAGGAGGGAAGGAGGGAGAAGGAAAAGGAGGAGAAAGGGAGGGAGAAAGGGCGGGAAGGGAAGGGGAGCAGAGAGAGGGAGAGAGACGCACAATCAAAAGCAGAAAGACAGTTGTATTGGAGGTGCAGCTCAGTGGCAGAGTACTTGCCCTAAATGGGCAAGGCCCAGGGTTCAGTTCCCAGAGATTTCATTCACAGTGGATGGAAAGACAGGCAAGCAAACGCAGACACACACCCCACACCTACACACACCTACAAAAAATGTGGTAATACTGTCAATCATTACTCTTAATCTAATGAAGAGGCACTAAGTAGCCTCCAAGAAAACAGTAACTATTAATATTAACAAAAATTTAAAGCACCATTCATCAAAGAAAAATAGGTTTGATAATTAACCTGAGTTTTCCATGAGACCCTTATACCACTAACCAAGCCTGCTGAAAGACCAAGGCCTCCTTAGAGGGCAAGGAAGGAATTTAGGAGTGAGGATGTTAAAAGAAACAAAATCCAGAGTAAGGAAACTAAATATAAACACAAATAAACTAAATAAATCCACCGTGGGTCAGGGCCTCACGGTTGAGGACAGCTGTGCCAAGCCTGATCTCCTTTCAGGGGTTTTCTTTTACTTCCCAAGCTTCCAGGACGCTTCTTACCTTTTCTCGATGAACACGATGAAGAATTTGTGACAAAGGTGGAGGAGCCAAGTACCTTCCTGGGGGCTCGAGAAGCCACCACTGCAAAGAGAGGTAAAGGGAGCCATTCAGAAGAGGCTGGAGAGCTCCGACCCCCAGAGCCTTGTTCTACCAGTTCCAGCCTGGCGTGGAGTAGGGTGATACACAGCAGCAGAATAACCTTGCCCGGTCTCCGCAGCTTCCTCGAGGTGAGGGCCTGGAGCCCGCCTCCTAGCTGGACTCGATTAGGGGCAGCCACGGGTGTCTCCATCCCAGGGACAGGCTGCCTGGGGAACCCCTAACCCTGCTCTGCATCCCTTCACCTTTTCTGTAGGCTCCCGGAACGTAGTCTGCTTTGGTCCGCACCATGTTCACACAGGAAGAGACAACTCGCACGACTCCCCAACTGCGGATGTCTTAACTGGACAAAAACCCGAAAATGACGTTCCCGCCACAGTTTAAATGGGCCTCTTTCCCGCGCGCTCCAAGCTCTTGAGAATCGTGGCTCTTATTGGTTCCGCGCCTTCACCCCGAACCAATTGGCAGCGTCCAGCGGGTGACAGCCTCGAGACCAGGCTTTGCTGGCCAGTCCATCAACTCCAGGGGTGGTGATTCGTACCCATTCCTGGTGGGCGGTGCCAGGATGTTCCAAGGGTGTGCCAAGTGTGGGCACTGAGGTAGGCTGTGAACTAGCCAAATGGGTCGGCTTATAAAATAAAACCTAGTAAAGATAGAAATTGCGATATTTCTTCAAAAGTTACCACAAAGTTAAATCCATGGTGATTAAACCCTGAAAGTGAAAATTAAAATTAAGTGGACTTTTCGAGGCAAATCAAAGCTAAAGTTTACTATCGTAAGAGTGAACTCTACAGTGCTTTAAAATAACTTACTGAGATGGGAGAAAGGAAAATGCAACTTTTTTTAAACGTTTCAGACTACATAATACTAAAAAATTGGACAAATGTTTTATACACATAAAAATAAACATGGTCACAGAGCTACAAATCTATCAAATATAAAAAGGCTACAGTTCCAACCCACATGAGACTAATGCTGCATTAAAGAGATCATAAATATTTTCTGACCCTATGCCTCAAAAATTACAGTATTTTTAAGGATTTGTGTTTGTTCTGAATGCCATGCATGGAACAAGACCATTTGTGCTTGCTGCAGGGTGATTTCCGTTAATGCTTGTTTGAAAGGCAACCTTCAAAGTGTAAGTATGAGCTATTTCTCTCCAGTGAATTAGGTTTGAACAGCAACAAAACCTACTCAGGACCTTAACCAAATCAACAATTCATTGTGTTACACAACCTAAAGATTTCAAAGCCAGGACAAGTGCACCTTGTAATAATCTCAGCCCTGAGGAGGCAGAAACAGACAGTAAGTTCCTTGTCAGTCTGGGATAGACCACAAGGCAAGAAAAGGAAGAGGAAGGGGAAGAAGGGGAAGGAAAGAAAAGGAAAGGAAAGGAGAAAAAGAACAAAATAAAGAAAAGAACCCCCCCTAAAATAGAGGAGACACGACAACAGTTAAGAGCAGCAGTTGCTCTTCCAAAGGCCCCAGGTTCACAGATTCGATTCCAGCACCCACATGGCTGCTCACAGTTGTCTGTAACTCCAGTTCTAGGGGATCTGACACCTTACACAGACTTACAAGTAGGCAAAATGCTAATGCACATCAAATAAAAATAAATCTTTAAAAAATGAAAATGATGAAAGAGTTTAGGCAGTCATTGAATTAACATCATAATATTAACAATAGTAGCTTATCTTAACCCTGGAGTGTTAGATTACAGTCAAATTCCCAGCAGGAAAATCAGCAAGCCAATCAACAAGCATTCCTTTATTGTCATTTAGCCTCATGGAAATGCACATTTGTTCTTAAGTGGCATTGTTTCCTTTTCAGTTAGAGGCCTTCTACTCAGGTCTGAATTGCTTAGTTGAACTCACATTCCAGAGTCCTGCAAAGAAAGGACCTAGACAGTATGTGTGTGTGTGTGTGTGTGTGTGTGTGTGTGTGTGTGTGTGTGTGTTTTCTCTGGCATTTCAAGCAAATAGCTAGAGAAAATGTCAAATACACCTCTTCATACAAGGACAAGGACAATCTACATATTATTGTAGTTGTGATTGTTTTGTATTTGTCTTTTAACACCAGTAATGTTGATGAGGGATGCGTGCTAGAGAAAAACACACACACAAAACTGATGATACCAAATGTTTAATTAAAATGGCTACTTTGGGGGCTGGGAATGTGTATTAATGGGATTTCTGTCTAAATTTATACCTTACTAATGGACATGTGACTCAAGACCTTGCATATGTTAAGTGCTGAGCTACTAAGTTGTGGGAATGGATATAGAAAAAGATAGATTATTTGAATACATTAGACTTAATAATGAGTACATTAGATTTTTATGAAAAGATAAAACTTATTCTCACAATTAATGAACATTGACTGTATTTTCCTTTTTTAAAAAAGCTGGTGGTGGGCTAGAGAGATGGCTCAGCCATTAAGAGCACTGACTATTCTTCCAGAGGTCCTGAGTTCAATTCCCGGCAACCACCCCAGCAACCACATGGTGGCTCACAACCACCTTGAATGAGATCTGGTACCCTCTGCTGGCCTGCAGGCAGAAGGTTGTATACATAATAAATAAAAAAATATTTAAAAAAAAAAGCTGGTGGTGGGCCAGCAAAAAGGTTTAGAAGGTAAAGGCTCAGGACCCATATTGTAGAATGTTAGAACTCACTCCCACAAGTTGTCCTCTGACTGTCACATGTGCATTGTGCATTTGTGGTAGCCCACCTACATATATACACATGGAGAAACACAAAAAAAGATAATAAAAATTTTTGAAAATGTATTTTATGTATATTGATGTCTTGTTTGCATGTACAACTGCAGACCAGAAGAAAGCATCAGATCCTATAGATTCTGTGGCATAGAAAGTTGTATGGGTTCTGGGAAATGAACTCAGAACCTCTGGAAGAACAGTCAGTGCTCTTAATTGCTGAGCCATCTCTCTAGCCCCAATAGGATAACTTTTTTTTTTTTTTTTTTTTTTTTGGTTTTTTGAGACAGGGTTTCTCTGTGGCTTTGGAGACTATCCTGGAACCAGACCATGCTGGTCTCAAACTCACAGAGATCCACCTGCCTCTGCCTCCCAAGTGCTGGGATTAAAGGCGTGCGCCACCACCGCCCGGCTCCAATATGATAACTTTTTAAGACAGCGTCTCACTGGTAATCCTGGATGGCCTGGAACTTACTACATAGGTCAGGCTGACCTTGGATTCACAAAGGTTCACCTACCTTTGCCTCCTACCGTGCTAGGGTTAAAAGCATGTACCACCATACCCAGTTAATATAATTTATTTATTTTTGGGTTTTTGAGACAGGGTTTTTCTGTATTGTTTTGGAGGCTCTCCTGGAATTCGATCTGTAGACCAGGATGCCCTCGAGATCTGCCTGCCTCTGCCTCCCTAGTGCTGGGATTAAAGGTGTGCGCCACCAACGCCTGGCTAATATAATTTATTTGTGTGTGTGTGTGTGTGTGTGTGTGTGTGTTTTATCTGTATGTGAGTGCCTGCAAGTATGTACGTGCACTGCATGCATGCCTGGTATCTTTGGAGGTCAGAACAGAGTCATTGGAACTGGATTTGCAGATGGTTGTTAGCCTTGGTGTGGTATAACAATGTGATTCTAGTCTCAATTGCAAATGGCTCTAAAATTAAGCACCACCGTCATCAGAGCAAAAACTACTACAGTGCTTACAAATAGCTTGCAACGGCTGGAGTTTTTGTTTTACTTTGTCTAAGGATTGAATCCCGAGATTTTCATATGCTCAGTAGGCAGGGGTACTATCCACCCTATCTCCTTTTTATTTTTGAGACAGGACCTCGCTAAGTTACAAAGACTGGCTTTGAGTTCACTTTGTATCACAAGTACGAAGTTTGTTACCCTCCTGACTAGAGCTGTTTTTAAATGTTCTACAGTTGGAACCAGACTAAATTAAAAAGCTGTACCCATCCTTCGGGGTCCTATTTTCTTTTATTCTTATTGTCTTAGCACAATTGCCAAAGCCCTTTCTGGAGTTACACCTCTACGTTGAAGAGTCACTCAAACACGGAGCCACCACACTGGTGTTAACAGACTCGGGAGCTGAGAGAAGCTTGAGGCGGCCCAAGTGGGTGGGATCAAACTCAAAGGCGGTGCGACCGATCGAGGCGGTGCAAGGTAGCGGAACCCTAGTCAACGAGGTCGCCGTTGCAAAGGGAACTAGTCCGGCGCAGGACTAGCAGCTTTTGCAGCCCAGCTGGTTCCGGTTGGGAAAGATGGCGGTGGCTGGGGCGTCGGCCCGGGATTCGCTAGTACACTGGTGCACACAGCAGTTGAGGAAAACTTTCGCCCTGGATGTCAGCGAGGAAATCATACAGTAAGATGGGTTCCAGGGCCGAGGCGGGAGGCAGCTCTGAGGTACGACCGGGTAGGGCGAACAGGAATGCCGGGAGGACTAAAAAGTTGAAATGTGAAAAAAGGGGCTGGAGACAGACTTTCGTGTTTGAATTTTGACCTCCACTTTTTCAGGTTAGCCCCTAGATAATTGTGTCAAACTCCAGTCACTTTCTTAGGAAAGTGTAACATCGTAATAATTAGACCTGTAAGATTGTCCCGGAAACAGGTTTGCTTTACAGATTGTGAAGAGTGAACAAGTCGAGACTGGCTTTCTAGAAATTCCTTATTCTGAACGTTGTAGTTTGTAGCAGGCAGAACCCAGAATTTACACGGGGACCACATGGGACAGTATAGATAGTTCCTGATTGCAGAGTCACAGCTTCAGTTTTCTGTTGCCACATAATTAGTTTTGGAAACTTCAGCAAAATAATTTACCCGTTTGTAAGCCCCTCCTTATTTAGAAAATAAATTATTACTAGAGCTTGCCTTTAGTGGTTTAAAATTCTTACGAAACAGATGACGATTATTTAATATTTGCACTGTTACTATATATCAGTCTCTAGGGCAAACAAGAAAGATTATTTAGACAAATTGGGTTAACTGTGTTGACCAGTTCTGTGATGTGAAGAAGTTGAGGGCCTTCAGGGAGCACAGAATAAACTTTTCAGTACTGGATTAACTATTCAATAAAGAATATGGATTATGATTTGAGACTCTTAAGATGTACTGGGAAAGATGCCTCTAACCTGAGAACTAAATTAGCAGAAGTCGGGGTTCAAAGTATTCATGTTGAGGGGAAGATTACAAAAAGAAACAGGATTAAAAAACAAAACAAAAGCTAAGACTTTTCCTTAATTTGATTCTTTGTTGCTGAAAACAAAATTGCTATTCCAAAATTATAAGAAATACAGTCAGTTTTCTGTGTTTGGGAGAAAACAGATTTTTTTTTAAACAAGAGTTAAGATAGCCTGGCTGTTTTAAAGTTGAAACTATAAGTATGGTTTAACACTTGCTTAAATTTTAAAGACATCATGAGTTAGGCAAGAAGTATGCTGATCATAAGCATTCAAGCTAAGCATGCTATAGTATCGTTTGAAGTACTTATGTGTTCACTAGTTGGCAACAAGCTATTATGTCAGGATGAAAGCAGTTGCTGTGCTTTGTTTGACATTTAATTGATAATAACACAGATGTAATGTTGTAAGAACGCAAATAATTTGATATGTATCCTAAATATTAAAAGAATTTTTGTTGTTTTTTCAAGACAGAGTTTCTCTATGCAGCCCTGGCTGTCCTGGAACTTGCTCTGTAAACCAGACTGGCCTCAATATCACTGAGATCCGCCTTCCTCTGCCTTTTGAGTTCTGAGATTAAAGGCGTTTTACAGCACTTTCCAGGATAACTTTCTAGCTTTTTTTAGTGTAATTTTTGTTTGAGTTTTTTTGAGGCAGGATTTCTCTGTGTAGCCCTGGCTGTCCTGGAACTCACTCTGTAAACCAGGTTGGCCGTAAACTCACAGAGATCCACCTGTCTTTGCCTCCCACATGCTGGGGTTAAAGGTTTGCACCACTGCATTAGGCATTATCTCTTTAATTTTTTATTTTCATGTCTTAAACTTTTATTTTTATTTTTTTATGTGAATGGTGTGTGCCTGCATATCTGTGTACCATGTGTGTAGTCCTCTCATAGACCACAAGAGGTCACCTGGGTCACCAGTTTCAGATGCTGGAAATTGAACCCAGGTGCTTTGGAAGAGCTTCCAGTGATCCATCTCTCCAGTTCCTTTAATTTTTACTTTTGGTTAAGTCTGATAACTGTAATGTTTAGTACCTTCATCCCTATTATGGTTTCTGAAAGTCATACAGTAAGCTATTCTTGTTTCAACAACTTATATCTTTATCTCCTGAGGTATGTTTTGTCAATCGAGAGTGCTGAAGAGCTACGAGAATATGTGACAGACCTTCTCCAGGGAAATGAGGGGGGAAAAGGTCAATTCATAGAAGATCTTATAAGCAAATGGCAAAAGAATGATCAAGAGTTGGTTTCTGATTCTTTTCAGCAGTGCTGGAAGAAAGATGGTAAGTTAATGTGGTTAAGTGATAATTGAAGCATTGATGATAATGTTTGGCTTTAAAGCTCAGTGTTTTCAACCACAAGGTATTACTTGTTCAAAGCTAACCTAAACAGAATCCTTTGTGTGCATATTTTCTGCTTAGGTCTATTCAGAATTAAAGATGTGTTCTGTTCCACCATACTGGGTACCAGCCACCATTTGTAAATTTACAAAAAAACCAAACAAACAAACAAAATCACAAAGGAATCTGTTTCCAGACACAGTTGTAGCTTTAGGGTAATTTGAAAAAGTTAACAAATGGAGTAAAGAAATATCTTTCAAAGGCTGAGCCCTCATTCAGTAATAAGACACTTGCCTAATATGTGTGAGAGTCTGTGTTCAATCCCCAACACTACAAAAATTATTATTATTATTATTTGCTTTTTCGAGACAGGGTTTCTCTGTGGCTTTGGAGGCTGTCCTGGAACTAGCTCTTGTAGACCAGGCTGGCCTCGAACTCACAGAAATCTGCCTGCCTCTGCCTCCCGAGTGCTGGGATTAAAGGCGTGCGCCACCAACACCCGGCCAATTTTTTTCTTTTTTAAAATTATTTATTTCATTTGTGTGAGTGTTTTGCCTGTTTGTATGTCTGTGCCTCATGCAGACCAGAGGACAGACGACTTGGGTTTTCTGGAACTGGGGTTTCAGATGGTCTGAGTTGCCATGTGTGTGTACTTGAAATTGAGCCATGCCTAACCAGTGCTTTAAAATGCTGAGCCATCTCTCCAGCCCTGTTTTTGTTTTGTTTGCTGTTTTTTCTTTTTCCATCACATGGTTTCTGTGTATAGTCCTGGATGGTCTGGAACTCATTTTGTAATCTAGGTTGGCCTCAAACTCAGAGATCTATCCACCTCTTCCTCCAAGCGTTGGGATTAAAGTCATGCATCACCATGCCTGGCTCCAGCCTATTTTTCTAAATTTTTTTTTTTTTTTTTTTTGGTTTTTTGAGACAGGGTTTCTCTGTATTGTTTTGAGGCTGTCCTGGAACTCACTCTGTAGACCGGGCTGGCCTCGAACTCACAGAGATCCGCCTGCCTCTGCCTCCTGAGTGCTGGGATTAAAGGCGTGCGCCAATGCCCGGCTTCTAATTTTTTTTTAAAGATTATTTATTATGTACAGTGTTCTGCCTGCATGTACACCTTTACCCCAGAAGAGGGCACCAGATGTCATTACAGATGGTTGTGAGCCACCATGTGGTTTCTGGGAATTGAACTCAAAACCTTTGAAAGAGCAGGCAAATGCTCTTAATCCCTGAGCCATCTCTTCAGTCCCTTTTATAAATATTTTTATTGATATGTGTACTTGAGTGAAAGTATTGACGATATTTAGAGATCCATTTATATAGCACAACCGATGAACACTAAATTAAGCATGTCATTATTATACAGTGTAAAATATTATATTATTAACTTCCCCTTAGTATTATTTGAATTCTCCTTTTTCTTTTTCTTCTTCCAGTACTGGGGATCCAACCCAGGACTGCGTGCATGTTAGGCAAGCACTGTCTATCACCAACCCTGTTTAGAATTATTTACCATTGACCACAGTCATGAAGCTGGTTTAATTTTGAATTGAGAGTAGTTCTGCCTGACTTCATGTCTTGACTATAAATATTAAGAATTACCTGCATGCCAGGCATTGGTGGCATACACCTTTGATCCCAGCACTCAGGAGGCAGAAGCAGGTAGATCTCTGTGAGTTTGAGGCCAGCCTGGCCTAAAAAGCTACCCAGAGAAACCCTGTATTCAAAACAAACAACAACAACAACAACAAAAACAGAATTACCTTCAGGTTTTACCTACAGAAAACTAAATAATAAAACTTGCTATTCTCTTTCTGTATTTGTGTGTATTTTATTTTATTCTTTAAAGAAATTTTAGATGGACAGAGATCAGTAGACCAGCTAAAGCGGGGTAGGAGGAAAGGAAGAAACAAACAGGAAGTTCCTGCATTTCCTGAACCTGACCTGACTGTAGAGGTCAAGACACCTTTAGATTTGGCCAAGGTAAGTGCTTACAAAATCAAGCTTTTCCTGGTGTGTGGAGAGGAGGAAATGACTGTTACAATTTGGAGACAAAGTGCAGAAATTGGTCTACCAGATGGATTTTAACAAATAGGTGGAGAAGGTGAGAATGCAGACATGCTTCTTTCTGTGTGATGCTAGAATTTTTTTCTTTTAAGATAAGGCAGCCATGTAGCTCAGGCTGACCTCTAACTTGCTGTTAGTCTTGAACTCCTGATCTTCTTACCTCTCCCTTCCAAGTTCTAGATTACAAGTGTGTGCATGTGACTTGCTTTATTTCATACTAAGGATCAAACGTAGGACCCTGTGTGTGCATGTGAGACAAGCACTCCACTCCTGAGCTGCACTCCTGTTGCTGAGTGGATGGTAGTTAATAAAGTGCCCTACTTTCAACTTCATCATTTGAGAGGACAGTCAGAATTAAATGATTATATACTTCTTGCTTTTACTAAAAAAGCTTACTGCCTGGCCTACTTTCCTAGCAGGGGAGATACCACGATCACAAAGGTGGTTTTCCCAGCTTGAGGTTTATCCATTGCATTCCGGATGTGTTGATCTCTGTGATTTTCGAAAGTTAGGAAACTCAACCACATAATTTGTGGTAGTGGAGGATTGTGTTCTAACTCTCCTCTGCATCAAAACAAACACCAAAAAAAAAAAAACCAAACAAACAAAAACACACACACACAAAAAGCCAAAATTATCAGGCAATTGAGAGACCAAAGCAGGAAGATTGAGAGTTCCAGGCTAATCTGGGCTACTTAGTGAATTCTAGGCCAGCCTGGAATGAGACTCTATTCAAAAAAATCAGTAAAAGATAGATGAATAGTATTTCTGTTTAGAAAGTTTTCTCTTCTGCCATTATTGTCATTATTCAGTCTTCAAAACTCATTAATAACCAGGCTGGCCTAGAATTTTCTGTGTATCCAAAGTTGTCTTTGAACTCAAAATCCTCCTGCCTCAGTTTTCCAAGTGCTCAGGTTATAGCCACTGTACCTGGATAACTAAAACCTTTATAGTCAGTACAACCTGACAAGGTAAATTTCCCAACAGAAGAAAATTAATTAATATAAGAAGGAATTAAGACTCTGGAGGCAGAGACAGGTGGATCTCTGTGATTCAAGGGCAGCCTGGTCTACAGAGCGAGTTCCAGGACAGCCTACAAAACAACACAGAGAATCCCTGTCTCAAAAAAAAAAAAAAGGAATTAAGAAAAAAAACCTGGTTATGATACCATGCAAAAAAATGGGTGAGGCTGGGCGCATGCCTTTAATCCCAGCAACAGAACAGGGAGGCAGAGGCAGGTGGATCTCTGTGAGTTCGAGGCCGGGCTGGACCGACAGCCTCCAAAACAATACAGAGAAACCCTGTCTCGTAAAACCAAAAAAAAAAAAAAAAAAAAAAAACTAAAGAAAGCCAAGCATGGGTAGTACATGCTTTTAATCCCAGCACTCGAGAGGCAGGTGCATCTTTGTGAGTTCAAGGCCAACCTGGTCTACAGAGTGAGTTCCAGGACAGCTAGGACTGTTTTACAGAGAAACCCTGCCCGGTCCCTGATTTTTCTTATTTTATTGATTGCCTATGCTTTGAGCTCTGTGAATGTTTTCTGCTTTTAGAGGTATTATTTTAATGATTTGTTTTATTTATTTACTCTTTGTGTGTGTGGTGTGTGTGTGTGTGTGTGTGTGTGTGTGTGTATGTGTGTGTGTGTGCGTGCATGGAATTTGTGTGAGTTTGTTCTCTTCTTTTATATTGTGGTCTTGGGTATCAAATTCCGGTCATTTAGGCTTGAACCATCTAACTAGCCTCAAAGGTATTTTTAGCTGTGGTTTAAGATATCAAAGGTTGGGAGTATACCTCAGTAGCAGAGCACATACCTACTGTACATAAGGTACCGGTTCAGTAGCCAGTACCACATGAGAAGGGAAAAAGGAAAAATAGGACTAAGGATGTAGCTCACTCAGTTGGTAGAGTGCTTGCCTGGCATGTATGATGCCCTGTGTTCCCTCCCGACACTGCTTATTACTAGAGTGTTGTCATGTACACATGTCATCTCAGGACTTAGGAGGTACAGGCAGAAGGATCAATGTCATCTTCTAGTTTGAACATAATAGTTCAAGCTAATTACACAAAAACAAAAAGAACCCAACTCACTACATTTGAATGATGAAATATCTACATGTGCAGTATTAAGTATCTCAAGGGACAGACTGATGACCTAAGTTCAGTTCTCTAAAACCACGTGATGCAAGGAGAGAACTGACACCTGAAAGTTGTCCCCTGACCTTCACATGCACACCATGGATGTGCACACTTGTGTAAAACTTCCTTTTTAAACATACCAAGCTGCTTTAATTGCTACATTTACTTTGCTCTTATGTGACTGAGAGCTACTAAAAAATAAAACAATTGCTAGGAAAACAATTCCCTTGCTTTTGTCAGGCCCCTAATTATAAGTAATCTGTATTTCCCTTCTTCGGTGATTCATGTAAGTTGTTAACAGAGCTGAGGCTTTCTTCTTTGATTATTTTTGTTGTCATTGATCAGTGTTCTGGCGATGTCTTTGTACAATTAGGCACAGGAAAGCAACAACTCAGTAAAGAAGAAGACAAGATTTGTCAATTTGTACACAAGAGAAGGACAGGACAAGCTGGCAGTCCTACTTCCTGGTCGTCACCCATGTGACTGCCTCGGCCAGAAGCACAAGCTCATCAACAACTGTCTGGTCTGTGGGCGCATTGTCTGCGAGCAAGAGGGTTCTGGCCCCTGCTTATTCTGCGGCTCTTTGGTAAAGTCCTTCTCCTTCTTTCCTGTTTTTTTTTACTCTGTGCCCTGGGTGATTTTTGTCAACTTGCATTATCTGAGAATAGAGAAACTCAGTTGAGAAAAATGCTTTCATAAAATTAGCCTGTAGGCGGATCTCTGTGAGTTCGAGGCCAGCCTGCACTACCGAGCGAGTTCCAGGACAGCCTCCAAAACAATACAGAGAAACCCTGTCTCGAAAAACCAAAAAAAAAAAAAGATTAGCCTGTAGGTAACCATGTGGAGCATTTTTTTTTTTTTTTTTTTTTTTTTTTTTTTGGTTTTTCGAGACAGGGTTTCTCTGTGGCTTTGGAGGCTGTCCTGGAACTCGCTCTGTAGACCAGGCTGGCCTCGAACTCACAGAGATCGGCCTGCCTCTGCCTCCCGAGTGCTGGGATTAAAGGCGTGCGCCACCAACGCCCGGCTGGAGCATTTTCTTTATGAGTGATTAATGTTGCCACCCTTGGGAAGGTGGTCCTGGAATATATAAAACAGGGTAATATATGATGATGTTTGCTTATAATCCCAGCACTCCGGAGGCAGAGGCAGGAGAATTTCTGTGAGTTTGAGGCCAGCCTGGTTTATATAGTGAATTCTAGGCCAACTAAGAGCTATAGAATGAGACCTTGTCTTTAAAAGAAAGAATGGGAGGAAAGGAAGGAGGGTGGGCAGGCAGACAGGCAGCAAGCAATCTTCCTATATCACCTATCAGTTCCTGCCTCACGTTGCTGTCTTGAGTTCCCGTCTTGATTTCCCTCAGTGATGAAGTATTACCTGGAAGAACAAGATGAGAAAAATCCTTTTCAGGACAAGAAAGATGACTCAGTGGTTAACAGCACTGGCTGTTCTTGCAGAGGTCCTGGGTTTGATTTTCAGCAACCACATGGTGGCTCACAGCTGCCTATAACTCCAATTTTAGCAGATCTAATGACTATTTCTGACCTCTGCAAGACCAGGCATACATACAGTAAACAGACATAAAGGCAAAACATTCAAACATTCATACAATAAAAATAAATAGGGTATAAAAAAAATAAACCCTTTCCTTCTACCAATATTACTTTGGTCATGGTGGGGGTTTTTTGTTGCTGGTGGTAGTATTTTTTTTGTTTTTGTTGTTTGCTTATTTGTTTTGTTCAAAGGTTTCACTGTGTAGCTTTGGAGCCTGTCCTGGAACTCGTGCTATAGACCAGTCTGGCTTCCAACTCACAGAGATCTGCCTGCCTCTGCCTCCTAAGTGCTGGGATTAAAGGTGTGCACCACCGCTGCTCAGCCAAATCCTCTGTAATTTCTCACAGGAAATTTCTTCCCTACAATGTTTATCTCAGCACTGTGGAGACCAAGGCATAAAAGTGAGTTACTGTGTAACTAGGCTAGCCTCAAGTTTGTTGCAGTCCCCTTGCCTCAGCTTCTCAAGTACGAAAGTATTGAGATTACAGATGTAGGCTATCATATTTACCTTCTGGTCCTTTCTTATTTTATGTGCATGTATGCTTTGCTGGCATGTATGTCTCTGGACCACATTTGTGCCTGGTCCCCTCAGAGGCCAAAAGAGGGAACTGGATCCCCTGGAACTGGAGTTACAGACACTTGTGAGCTGCCATGAGTGTTCTGGGAGTCAAACCCAGGTCCTCTGGAAGAATAACCAGAGATTCTAACTGCTGAGCCATCTCTCCAGCTGCAAGCTTCTCGTTCTTTCTTTCTTCTTCTTTTTTTTTCCGAGACGGGGTTTCTCTGTATTGTTTTGAGCTGTCCTGGAACTCATTCTGTACATCAGGCTATCCTTAATCTCAGAGATCCACCTGTTGAGGCTACTCTTTATAGCATGCCAAGCAAGCAACATTATTCAACTGGTGAATGATAATTCTTTCTTTTACTTTATAGGTATGTACCAATGAAGAACAGGACATCTTACAGCGTGACTCAAACAAAAGCCAGAAACTGCTAAAGAAGCTCATGTCAGGTAAATCCCAGGTTTCTTTCTTTTCTTTTCTTTTTAGATCTACCTGTCTTTTATTTCATGTATCTGGACATTCTGCCTGCTTGTATGTCTGCCCACCACATGAGTGCCTTGTGCTTGTGGAAGTCACAGAAAAAAATATGAAACGCTTCACAAATTTGCGTGTCATCCTTGCACAGAGGCCATGCGAATCTTCTCTGTATCGTTCCAATTTTAGTATATGTGCTGCCGAAGCGAGCACCCCCGGTTTCTTTCTTGCTTTGTTTTTTTTTTTTTTTCTTTCTTTGAGACAGGGCCTCACTATGTACCCCTTACTGTCCTGGAACTCACTTTATAGACCAGGCTGGTCTTGAACTCAGAGATCTACCTGTCTCTGCCTCCTAAGTGCTGGGTCTAAGAGCATGCACCACCATGCCAGGCCCTCAGCTCCAATTTCTGAGTTTTAGTCCTTACAAAGATAAATGATGATATCAAGGAATGAACTTTTATAGGAATTGTATTGTATTCCTTTTTTTCCAAAAATATTAAGTATTTTATATTTGAGAACATTGACAAAAATAGTTAAGGACTCTTTTGTTAGGGTGGCATGTTCCTGAAGTACTATATTTGGGTTGAGGCAAGAGGATTGTTGGAGTTTGGGTGTTGGGACTCTCCTTTAGTAGACTTTTATCTACTAAAAACTAAAAGTAAAATATAGGTTGGCTGGTGAGATGGCTCAGCATGTTGAGAAAACTGACTCCCACAAGTTGTCCTCTGCCCTCCATGTGTGCTTCATGGCATGCATGCACACTCACACGCACATGCATTTGCACGCATGACACCCCCCTACCCACACACACACACACACACACACACATACACTCTGCACTAA